TAACACGATCCAAATAAATGAATCTCGAATTTGGGTAGCTACGGCCGCCGTACGGTTGTCGTATATCAAATTTGACTGAGGCATGAGTTACACTTATAATCCCTAACCTGCTCCGGAAATGAGGTTTTGTTGTCCAGTACTCCACCCCACAAACTGAAAATACCGTTACAAAGTACTGACTTTTCCCTTATTAAGAAAATAGATTTCGCTTTGATTGTAACAGGGGCTTTTGCCTCTAAAATGGGGTCACACAAGGTTGCCATCTAAATTGTTGGTATGTTTTTTTAAAAACTTTTTGCTACATAACTGCATCTAGATACACTGTCTAATGCTTGAAAATACCGACTTCCAAAATGATGGTAGGTAGTGTAGATTTCCAATATCAATGTTTGAAAGTTCATACACGACTTTGATTTGATTTGATGTTACGTTTGGCATTCCTTTTATTCAAAACCAACTAGCCTACACAATACACGTAAAAAGCGAGGGAGTTGTAAAATACTGTTTTTTTTATAACGTGGTACTACAACTACATAACCATTTAGATTATTCGGATATTAACCACGATATAATGATACCATTTATCACATGATTGACACATACAATAATTTATTTTGGCATATAAACCCCCTATCACACCAAACTAGTTCTTACCCGTTCTTGCCAGTCCTACGAAAATGTCGTAAAACGGGCTCAATCTGGCTGTGGTCGGGAAATATGTCTGAAATAATTAGCTTCTTCGTTCTCGATCTCAAACAGTCTTCAATACGTCCTTCTCGTTCGCAGTTCGTTCAGGTCGCACCACGTCGGTGTGCAACGTCGTAGAACGCGTCCCTTAGTCTAGAAGGTCAACATGACCTGATTACAGAACGGTATGGTCGCCATCGAATTTTGAATCGATTCAAAATTCTAACATCACATACCCGTCTGAGAACGTTCATAAAGTTCGTAAACAGACCGTAGAAAGTTGCAGCTACGTTCATTCCGTTCGCACACAGTTTAAAACCAGTTTTGAAGAACGCAGTGGCAACTTGTTTGGTGTGATAGCTATATTTTTGCTAACTCGTTCATAAGCAGTGTTAAATACGTTCTTAATCAGTTTAAACCCGTTTGCAATTAGTTCTACCTCGTACTCAACACGTTCTCAGACAGTTCAACTCGTTGTTAAAACGTCCCTAGTAGGATTGAAGTACGACGGTTCCGTTCGTAGTACGTCCAGCTCGTCGTTAGTACGTTGTCACTCGTTCTAATTGTAGAACGTGACGACCACGAGAACATTTTGAGCATTGTCTAAGTTCTAGAGGACCTACCCGTTCGAGTACGTTCGATGAAGTTTGTAAATAGATCCCAAACGGTTCTTAGTAGGTCCAGTCCGTTCGTACACAGTTGAAGCCCGTTTTCGAGAACGTAGCGAGAACTAGTTTGGTGTGATAGTAGGGTTAGGCAGTAAGAACACATTAACAATAGTCTTACGTTATGCCTTGGTCACATTTGCTCCGATTTCACTACGGCGCTTGGCCGATTGAGTATTTTGTTCAAAATTGAATACACTGGAGAGGTTAAGCTAACGATCTTTTTCACAACGTAACCGTGAACGCAAAGTACAAAAATTAACAAAGGAATGTATCGAGCGCTCATAGTTTTATGCGCGCTTAGTCTACTTCAGATACTCTTTCAGCTTCAGAGTTTCGGGTTTAGAACGTGGAGATTTGAAATTTGACGTTGGGTCAACGGGAACCATTTTACTCGTGTCTATTGAACAAATGCTGTCAATTTTGATTTCGATGCACAGTTGAATTCTTGCTGAACACGATGATGTATGTCATGCATGATTTAGCGCCAAAAATCTTACGAAACGAGCTCGTTTAAAATATGTATTAGAAAACCAGCTATAAAACCGCATCAATGACATACTATAGAATCATTACACGCTATGGTGTAGTCTAAACAAACACTGGATTTGAACGGCTATTTATATGAGAAGGCTACATGAATTTGTATATGGTCGAGTGATACGTACAGGTTCAGTTTCGATTATATATGCAAAGCTTAACCTCTCCACTATTGAACATAACACTCAATCGGGTGGGCGCCGCCGATGGATCGGAGCAAATGCGATCCAGGCATTAAAAAGAAACTATATCCAATGCTCCCAATCACCAGCACTCGGAAACATTTATCACAAAAGGCTAGTTAAAGATATTGGGTATAAATTCAATCAATGCACGTGTTGTCCCGAACGAGGGTGAATAATATAAAATTTTAACATCGTAATGTTGCAAAATGACGCTTCCTACTAAAAGGAATGTTAGATCAGGACTATATTAGCACGAATAATAAAACATAATACAAAAAGAATAAAAAGCCAATGTATTATCCGATGTTGTCACTTAAGTGCATATCTTGTATTTTATTTAGTGTGCTATGGGACTTTTGAGGGCAACACTCCCCTCTATATGTTTAGCAACCGGAAGCATAAATTTAGTTGATAGTTAATGTTTGTATCTTTATTGTTTTCCTTTATAATAATACGATTGCTGTTGTTTGAATCGACAAATATAAAAATTGATTAGGAGTGGGACTTCCGGTTTCCAAATGGAATAATACTAATGGAATAATAATGGTATGTTGCATTTCCGAGAATAACCTTGACAAACAATTAAAAACTACGGGTGGATAATCTCCCAAAATACAACATATAATGCATGGGTTCATTTATGAGAATGTGTGTTTTTGTGATTCGGAAATAATGACATCTTTCTCGAAGCTTTATGGCTATCATAAAACGTGGATAAAGTCAGTAAAGATTACTGTTCATGGTATTCGCATTGAGATGAGAGCGAGTTGCAATTATGATGTCGAACGAAGCTTGCTTTATAACTTTCTTAAACTAATATGTCTTCTCATCTAGACACACATCAAACGCAATTTCCAGACACAATGTCTCAACTTTGACTTAAAGGCCTTCTCACATATGAACGAATCTACTAAACACAGCTTGCGAAATTGGGTAAATCGTCAATTCTGGCGATTGGGAACGTTAACATGCGAACAATTAATAGCGCTACTTTGCGCATGCTTCCGAAGACTTCCGAAGCTTTCCGAAAGGGTACTTCTACATACGAACACCCCAACGATATACAACGTACATACACGAATGGGAACAAATTTCACCTCAATATTCTATTCGCCAGTACACGCAAGTTGACATTGTATATTATGGCGATTGGGAACGTTAATTTGCGAATCAAAGCGCAAGTTTGAGCATGCCCCCCGAAGCCGTCTGGAGCTTTTTCCGAAAGGCTACTTCAATGTACGAACACACAACGATGTGCTACGTATACTAATGGGAACGCATTTCTTCTGTATTCGCCAGTACACCTAAGTTAACGTCAAGGGGTTTCCGTTCATATGCGAGAAAGTCTTTTAGCAGGCCTCTTAGACTTTCAACAACCCGAACATCAGTTCTGACCTCACAAACGTTCCTTGCGCTTGAACCACGATTCTTACGTCGCGAACGAGATATCTTTGTTCGAGCAAAAACTATATACACATTCTTGATCAATCTTCTCTGGTGACTAGGCAGTTGTTTTAGGTACAAACAAGATTGTTCCAAAGGTTTTAGAATCAAAAATGATTTAGATTACAGATACTCGATCGAGATTAAATGCAGACTTGTATCAGAAAAAGTTATATTCGGATTCCATGCAGCGTATACATGTACATTATATTCAATATAGTCAGGAAACCCCCTGAAATGAATAGTAGAATGTGCGTATATCAATTAACAAATGCAAGTCGTGCGATATGAGCGCTACTTAAAAGCAATGCTGCAAATAAATATACCTAATTTTCAAGCACTGGAGAAGCAATGAAGTGAAGCATGATATTAAACCTTGAAGAGAGCACATTCTACTGTCTTATTACAAAATTAACGTTGGCAAAATGTGCATTAAGATGAGAAATGATAGGTTTATTCATTGATTGAGCAATATATAATCATATTAATATCGATACGCTGGCAATAACGTAAGTCAACTTCAGCGTTATGAGACATTCTAATTGTCTTTCGAGGGTCAACAGTGTTCAAAACTGTATACAAACTTTTCCAATTACTTAAAACAATGCTCTGAAGATATCACAAAGTAAGTCATTGTCCGCAACATATGCAAATTTTAGCTTGATACGTATGCAAAGTGTATTTAAGTAGATTTTACAAAGCCGATAGTCACATTTCCTTGTGTAAAGAAGAGGTAGATAAATGAGTTTTCCTATCTCAAATGAAACGGAAATCCATTTACTACTTGTTCGATCATATTAAAGCCTTACACCTTTAGACATATATAGCACTAGGCTCATTTTGAATTCAGGTCAACGAAGTAGTGATAAAAAGTTATTTGCATACTTAACTTTTAATTTTTATCAATTTGTATAATGTGTAATGAAATATGTATAATATCTGCACTTTATGTTGTAAAATAATAAGGGTTATCTCCATTAACACATGCGATTCAAAACACAAGACAAATAGTTCTTCACTAAAAGTAAACTAACCACATACAAACCGTTCACCTTTTTGAAAAGTGTGCAAAATTATCCTCCCAGTGTGTTCGGGAAAATTTTCTAAAGAATTACGTGTTTTTAAGAAAAAGCGTAAGAAGGTCAGATGGATGTACAACGAAACAACTTACAATTAATTTATTGTTTCTTGCAAATATGTGAAATAAGTTGAAAAGGTCGATCCATAAGATATTAGAGTACATTAAAATTGGAAAATTAAAATGGTCGATTAAACAACATTCAATAAATATATGCAGCAGTGTAAATCAATTAAAAATGTACACGCGTCTTTTAGTATTTATCATATGCATTTTGCAAAAAGCACAACATGATAATGGTGTATCTCATTTGCAATTTCGTCAATGATTTATTTACACCACTAAAACATTTTATACCGATGTGATACGTAACGTTTAAAAAGGCAAAGTTTATATGCTTACCGTCAAAAGAAATTTCCTCAGAATATCTCAGTCTTATTATCCAGTGCGTCTCTGAAGAAACGTTCTACGGCAATTTGTCATGGTATTCACCTTTGAGTGACGGCTACACGCACGTAATAATTCTCCATGTAAAAGCTTTCAAGGAAATTACCCGTCTAATCAATAACTACACAGGACCCCCATTCTTCTTGATATCACCACCAGCTTTTTTGTTTATAGGTGACGATCCTGGGGATTTTGTAATGCTCTCACGTCAGATGTTAAGCTCAAAAGGCTTGATAACATATTTTCTTGTGAATCTGATTGAATGTATCGACTTTTTGTTGATTCTCCTTCCCACTGAGATTGACAAACGATGTCTTCACAGTTGAGTATACCTTACGGAGGCTCGTAGTCCTCTAACGTCTCTACAGCTTCTGCTCTCTGCCTTATCCACGCTATCACTATACCGAGTTGCTTCTCTAATCCTGATTGGCTCGGAAGAATAGCACTCTCATAAACACCATATTAATAATAAAGCGATCGTCATGATATTCCTCGTCTGGTAAGGTAAAACTAGAGGTTCCCGTGAGTAGCTGGTGTTGTTGAGACAATATTGTCTTCTAAATCGCAAGAAAATGAACGAACATTAAGCAGTTCATTTCACTTTTAGGAAGATAATACAGGATGATTCGTGCCTATAATGATTCTTAGAGCACGGTGGCTTTTGCGATGTAATAGCAACTAATTAAATTTATTGCAAAGAAGCATTGAACAATAGCTGGTTTACATATCTTAGATTGATGGAGAAAGGTTTTTGTAAAAGCTTCTGTGTTTCTTTAAATTTCACAGCATTAGTAATAACACCTATAGATCATGGGGTATGTCGAGATTTTGTGGTTTCTGTTGACATCTAAAATGCACTTCTACGATGTACAAAAAGATTTGGAATGGCGAAAAATATAGTACCCAAGATACTAATATAGAGAATTTGGACGATTTAGTTCTAACCCATGTGTTAAACAATTTCTTGGAAATATTATTACTTCGAGTTACGATTCAATCCTCAAGCTTAACCAATTCACATATTTCTTATTCTGACTTATCATTCCTGATCTCCATCATGAGTAGCTAATCCCCGTCTTGTGTCCTTTGTAAAGTCAATAAATCTTCCAGAGCTATCCCTCAGAGCTCTACCTAAAAAACAGATGCCGTGTTTAGTTAAGCACTGTGTGTGTTTCTAACCTTTGGAGAGTCAAATCATCAAGCGTTGGGCATTGAACAAATGCTTCTCATTAGGACTCTTAGTTGTTACACAGAATGATAGAACGTATATTTTTCTTAGTTGATTGATGTCTGCGAAGCCTCTGGTCTGTAAATCAAAGTGCGTTCGATCTGTAATGGAATCTGTTTTGCATATAGGCTAGATGGTTGATTTATATTGGAGATAGTTTATTAAGTCCTGTCATTTCTCAGGCCCGTAGCCAGGGGGGGGGGGTCGCAGGGTTCGGGCGAACCCCCCCCCTGGACAAAAATGCAGTTTTCACCATTTTGAGCACTTCTCTAGTGATTTTAGCCATATTTGGGCCAAAATTGTCAAATGTGAACCCCCCCTGGAAATTTTTGAAAACTGAACCCCCCCCCCCCCCCCCCCTTGACAAATCCTGGCTACGGGCCTGTATCTACATAAAAACTGGGTCTAAGAAACAGATACGCCACTGAGATTGCTGGTCAGATTACACGCAAAAATACAAAGAAACGTCACTACACGTAAAACACCAATTTGTTTGAGGGTATCTTATACAGCTGTATTTAATCATAAGGCAAAATCACTTAACTGCATTTCCTTCATATCGTGATTTATTTACAAATTATGTGAAAAGCCATGCAATTGTATCACTGGTCAGTATCAGAAAAAGGTAACGGCCGTCACCTTCACATCAAAGATGGCGAACGGGAAGTGTCGATTTCGATATTTTTAGTTGTCATCGAGTTAAACTACTTTAAACTTGACGTAATGCTTTGATATTTGAACTGAACCCGACTTATATGGCAGGAAAACTCTAGGGTATGGTCATTTGCTAAAATACAATGCATAGGCGCCACATTTAAAGTATATCTTCCACCGCTTAAGGGAAGGTAACTGGGATTTTGGTTTTACAGATGATAAGATAACTGAAATGCGGTAACGCGGTAACGTTATGAGAGTTTATAATGGAGAACTAAGATATCTCGTTACTGTGTATATGAAAACGAAAATTAACATGACCGTTACCGTATGCTTTATTCCAGTTACATTCCCTTAAAAGGTGGAAGACATCTTTGAACTGTGGCGCCCACGTATAATTTATGCCAAATTATCATATTCCATAGTTCCCATGTCATATAAGTATGATTTTGGTTCAAATATCAAAGCATCACTTCAACTTTAAAGTAGTTTAACTCGATGAAAACTAAAAATATCAAAACCGACACTTCTTGCCCGCCATCTTTGTTGCGAAGGTGACGGACGTTACATCCGCTTGATACTGACCGGTGTGTATGTGATTTTGATTAGCGAATTGTTTTTTCTGCAGCCGTCAGAGAAGCCACCATGGCCTCCTAATGCTTTAGTCACATCTTAAATACGAAATAAATGTTCTACATCGGGCAACCCCCCCCCTACCCCCCGAAGAATCCTTTTAGATACGGTTATAAAAAAAATATTCAAAAACAAAATATAATTTGAGAGTACGCCATGGCGTTTTATGCGTATATGACGCTACGCCATTGAATAACACGTACACGTAAATAAAGCACACGGCCTACTTTAGGCGGAGATCGATTGATTTGGTTAAGATGATGCGTTTTGTATCATTGATACTTGTAAGTTCACTTTAGGCGTTAGACTTTCTATCTTTGTTCCTTTATTACACTCTCCTCCATTAGCAACCGGAAATCCCGTTTCGCCTCAATTATCAATTATGATAATTCCCATGTATTTATTTTGTATTTGCTATTTATTTTCAGTGTAATACATCTGAGGTGGACTTGCTAAATTGTTATCTTATATGTTTCAAACTGTGTTGAATTGGAAGACAACAGTCCATAAATAAATAAATAAACAAACTAAGTAACTAACTAAAATAGTCAATGCCTGATTAATCTTAATTGACTTAAAAAGGTATAAAAGTGAAGGAACAAAAATAAAATGTGTAAAGTATGTTTTAGTATGAAGGCGGTTACCAAACTTATGGAGGGGAGTGTAATATTGTTTCGTGTAGAAGTCGAACATGTGAGATAAGCTAGATATCTGCTTTTCAAAAAAACTTCATTCGTGTACAAATTGGCATGTTTGTATACATCATTGGTGGTATTGGCAGTTCTGTGTCAAGTATACGATGAGTTGAACCGCTGGTTTCTGTCTTACAATCAAAAACATTGCCAAAGAGGTAATAATCAACGGTGTAGTAATTAATCAATGTCTTGAAATCAGTCTATTATTTCAACAGAACATATCCGGCGGCGTTTAATTATTATTTGATTAAGGGATTGACCCGTTGATTCCATGATGTATAGCACAATATATGGCCGTCATTGTTGTCTTATCCCTAATTAAGAGATCAATGCTAGTTGACAATGGGCAACATTGAGCCAATTGGTCATATCGTTATAATACCATGACTAATGACTCGATGTATGGCCGGTGTGAAAGAAATTATGGTCCCCCAGGGATTATGGTCCCCGGGGATTATGGTCCATCTTTTAAAGGCCCTTACTGGCCCTGATTGTGTATAAGATCATAAGGGAAATAACACAAAGAGGTCACTATATAAATCAATGGAGAGTAGGACCATCAATTAATAGGACCTCCTACCCTTTTACACCGGACGTTTTCTTGATGCTTTCCGATCGTCGAATACACAGCGTTTAATGAATTTGATATGCAGAATAAAAGCTAAGATCATGTTTCAGAGACGCCGTATTATATTTTTCAATTTTTAACCACTGATATTTTCATGATGTTTGTGTAATGTTTGGAAATATGTTTTTTATCATTCATTTACTATTTGTCATGACTTTAAAGAAACATTATGCCATAGGTTTCTCCCCAAGACAATCAATGATGCTCTATTGTTATTGTTCATATAATATCTCGGATATATCTTGAGAATAACTTTTGAGTATATTATTGCCGAAATATCGGAAATAATCAACAGAACAACCAGAATTAAAACACAATCAATTCCTCGGCTAGCGAGAGGAATCTCCATTGAGTCACACCCCAGTCACATTTCATACGGCGACCTTGCGGTCTATCATTTCTGCTGCCAGTAACATTTCTACGCTCGCCGTGAAATTTCTGCGCTCACATACTTTTGCGGTCACATTTCCCACGGCAGCCGCACGGTGAATTTTAAAGTTCTGTTGATAAATAATACTTTTTTCATTTTATTTACATCGGGACAACTTATAAATGTTATTCATAGTGCTAGGATGTAATATCAAATGAAAAGTGATCGTGAAACATTGTCAAATAATGATTCAATCTTGTTGAGCCAGTTGATTTCTACGGCGACCTCAGAAATGAGCAAAAATTATAACCCCTAGTTATAATTTCTACGCCTTCTCTGCGGCCTGTAAAAATCTGCATACGCCGTACGGAGGCCGCAAGGCGAGCGTAGCTTTTCTACGCTCGCCGCAGAAATTCACCGATTTAATTGATCTGCGGTCGACTTGCGGCCGCCGTGCGACTAATGTGACTGGGGTGTCACACAAGCGCTCAAAAGCGCCTTGATCCAGGCAGCCAATCAGGTTTATGGTAAACAAATTCAACGACCAATCAGATAACAGGAAGACTTTCCCGGTATATTCAAACTTCAGATTGAATTAATTTCTTCGAAAATAATTAGGGCGGCCAGCACAATCGCAAAATTAACACTGAAAGAGGGGGATTTGGGACTTCTTCTTTTGGTGAGTAGATGGGTATATATGGTGAAACTCAATATGCAAAAAAAAGTCCAGAGGGGTCGTGATTGTGCTATACTATGGCATAGAGCCTCTTTAAAAGTTATTTTAGAGGTATTTTGAAAAAAAAATAGTTTTTCAGCTTTTCATTTCTCAAATATTCAAATTTCCCGCCATTTTTCAAAAACAAGTTGAAATATTTTAATCATCAAATATTTCACTATACATTTCAAAAAAAATTTTTTTAACACCTATGCCAAGATTGAACAAAGGACACACTATTTTAATAATAAAATGCCATATCTAATGTGCCACTTCAATGTTTTAGCATACCAAAAATATGTTGCTACCTGAGTGATGTCATCGATGACTCACTCAGGTGGCAACATTTTTTGGAGAAAAAATGAATTTCTTTCTATGTCAATCTTTTCTAAACATGCTAAACTTAAGAAACTAAAATAAATCAATGTTGATTGTCTAACCAGGTTAAAAGGAAGAATATATTATGT